TCATGTAGCCCTTTTCTTTCTCTCATTAGATATGATGTGTCACTGTGCCAAAGGCTGGATTATGCAAGCCGCTCTTTCTCCTGACTGCACACACTCTCTCTCACACACACACTCTCTCACTCACACACACACACAGCAACTGATGAGAGTCCAGGTTAGCAGGTGGCAGCATTTATAATTGATGCGACTGATGTTTTACCTGTGATTTCCATATGGAGAAGCGCAGGTGTGTGTGCATTCAACGTTTACTTCTATTTCACTGTGGAGCAAATCTGTCTTGTGGATGTTTACAACAAGACATCCACCATCCCACAGCATTGAGGAGGAGTAACGAGGAAAAACAAGTCTTCTGTTATTATCCACGGTACATTAGCTGATATGTACAGTAACTGTAAAAGCTAAAGCACAATGAAGGCACAATAAGTCAGGCCACCATGGCTGTGAGCATCAACTGCAACAATGAGCAATTAAAGGCATATTAAGAGGATTTAGGCAAAATGGCTGAAAAAATCTTAAAAACAATCAGTAGTAATATGACTTAATGGTTTATCACTTTCGACCAATAGGTTGCGCTGTGACCAAATTGATGTGTTGTGGTCAGAGTGAGGTGACAATGACACATGCCAGGTTTGGTGTCGAGATGTCAAGGCATCATGTCATCAATGTTGTTGATGCGATATACAAAGCAGTTTCGTCTATTGACACGAAATCTACAGCTTTTTGCCGCCATGGTCTGAAGATGATACGATTCGATTTTGGTGAATATCTGAGCAATGGTCTAGGAGGAGTTTGGAAAAAGTAGGTTTGTAAAGGGAAGCAAAATGGCGGACGGGAAGTTCGGCCAAAAATGGCAAAGTTGGCATCTATGTTCTCCGCATGACCCGAAGAACTATTAAGAACAGTTTCATTACAGAAGGCAAAACTAATCAAAAGCTGTTAGCATTTTTTTAAATTTCGTTATAATTTGCCCCCAGTTTCTGCCAAGTTTCATAACGATACACCAATGTGTTCGTAAAATATTGCATTTTACAATCAAATTCTATATAGCCGATATGGGAAAATTGTGTATTGTTTGACTCCGCATGCTGCACTGAATCTAAAGAGACCAGTGATTTATTTTTTTGTGATTTTAGCCAAACTTTTTAGAAGTTTTAAGCAAAAAGGTATTTTTTTCATATCTCCTGACCACTAGGTGGCACTGCGCTGAACCTGTGCAGGTATCCTTAAGTCATGGTTGTCATAACACACACCAAGTTTGGTCAGAACACGCTAAAGCATTGTGGAGATAAAGCCTCATGTCCGTTTTGGCATGCACTTTGTTGAATTCATTCACGCATTATTCAAAAACCAACTTGAATTTCATAACATTTTGTCGGCATGGCCTGAAGATGATCTGGTTAAATTTTCATGAAAATGGAGCAACGGCTTAGAAGGAGTTCGGTGTTTTTCAGAAATTAAATTTTCAAAAAGGAATTGGAGGAAGTTTAAAAGTCATTAGCATAAGCGTAAGTGAAACTTTGGACAGGTGGTGGCGCTACAGGGATTGAGTTAGAGACTCCAAATTGGCTGTGGTTAATGTTTAGACGGTCCTCTATCTGTGTGCCAAATCTCACAACGTTCCCGCGAGCACACCAAGACCCGAATAGATGAACATAAACAAAACCTAGAACAGATGTGACAGCAGTATAGTTATAGATGCAATAAAGATTATCAATAATTGTACATTTTGTAGTCATATGGCTATATCCTAAAATGTAAAAAACAAAACAAAAAACAGCATAAAAGTGACCAAATGACTGCACTATACGGTATATTCAAGTCTCCTGCAGACATGTGTGAGGAACTGAGAAATTTAAGTCATTATTCACTCATTAACTTTTTAACTCTAACCGCATTGATCGCATCATTGAGAGACTCAAATTGAAGGGATTGTTGAATCGACAGATTGATTTTAGGCTTTTATTCCACACACACACACACACACACACACACACATACAGGTTAGCATGACTTATAAGGACAGTTTCTTTGAACCAGAAAAAAAGGTGGTTTAGGGGGTCTATGACTTCCTTTTATGCTAGAGCTTTCAAATAAAAATGGAAATGCTTTTAAAAATCATGGCTTCTAAACTCAAACTCTATTATTAATTTACACCTTATAAAACAAGTTACATGACACCCTGATTTTTGGCTGACTTACAAGGACATGTGTCCTAGAGGACAAAAAACAGGATTATGAGGACAAATGGATTACAAGGACTATGTGATGTCACAATGACATCACAGTTCATTAACATACACAAAGAAACATGACTACACACTGCACTGCAAAGACAGATGGGTTTACTGGGACTATGACGTGTCTTTGACATGAAAGTTAACAATCACTACACAAACACAAAGCCAGAAAGGTTTGTTTGTAGCTTTAAGGTTATTTATATGATACATGTTAAAATTGTTTGGGTTTATATATATATATTCTGGGTTCAGTCCTTTTTGTTGGGTTGTTTTCACTATGCTGACTAGGTTTTGGGTCACGCACTGCCAGCTAGCATCTGGGTTACTTTCACTGATAGTAGTAACAGAAGAAACACAAGTAAGATAATGCACCCATATCAATATCACCAAGTGTAGTGTCATAATGAATGCCTTTAATCAGCTGCCACTGCACTTGCTGTGTGGGAATCTTTGTTGATTACACTGGAATTGATGTAGTGATCATTCCATGTTTGACTGAAAGTGAAGCCATATAATGTCAGAATGAGGAGATGACCAGGTACAGCTTCTTTTTCTGACACTTTGCAAACACAAATATTATCACAGGCTTATTTTCTGTATTAGCAATTTACCTTTCGGCACATCCATTACTCATGACCTTCACCTTAATTTAAAGAGGTTCATTCCTGTGCATCAAGCAGGTACAGTTGAACTTTATTTATGTTCACTGATCAATGTTTGTACTCCATTCATATGGATTTGTTTTACCATTTCATAAATGTTTTGAAGCATCAAGAGTTTTGGTTGAACAGACTTTCATTGGAGGGACAGAAATCTCACAGATTTAAATAAAAATAGCTTCATTTGTGTTCTGAAGATGAATGAAAGTCTTACGGGTTTGGAATGACATAAGGGAGAGTAAATGACAATTTACATTTTTGAACTATTCCTTAACTATCCCTGTTGTAGTGCTACAGTATTAATTGGATTAGGGCTGGTGTCAGAAGCATGTGACTGCCTTCAGATCTTCTTTGCAGGTTTTCAATAACTTAGTACCGTAAGATTTCAATGAAACATCTTCGCTGGTAATAGAGAAACAATACCTGCCCTTCATTAAAGAGGCCTCTGAGGGGTGGCAACTAAGCAGTTGAGCAAAAAAAAAAAAAAAAAAAGTAACCATGTTAATATCTTGTATTTAATATTCTGAAGTGCATTAAAACAATGTGAACAGCAATACACTTATCTTGCCAACAATGCAGATACTACAATTGAAGGGATAGTTCACCCAAAAATGAAAATTCTGTCATAATTTACTCACTCTCAAGTTGTTCCAAACCTGTATGAGTTTCTTTCTTCTGCTGAACACAAAGGAAGATTGAAGAATGTTGGAAACTAGACAGTCGACGATAGCCATTAACTTCCATAGTAGGAAAACAAATATTAATCTGGAAGTTAATGGCTACCGTCGGCTGTTTGACTACCAACACTCTTCACTCTTCTTTTGTGTTCAGCAGAAGAAAGAAACTCATACAGGTTTGGAACACCTTGAGAGTGAGTAAATTATGACAGAATTTTCATTTTTGGGTGAACTATCCCTTTGAAACTAATAATAATAATAACAATTGATTGTCAACGAGATTACATCACAGCATCAATCGACAGTGCAAGAGATCAACAATACCATATTTTGTAAACAGGGCACAGCGATAAATAATAAACAAGAAAAAAAAAACCTATATGAGAGGAAAAGAATCATTAGTTACCAGGAAGAATTTGTATAAAGGTGTGTGCTGCAACGATGCAAAGTCCAGTTCACAGTTATTGCATTGGTGGAAAATGACAACAAACAACAAATTGGTGGTAAAAACAACAACAACAACAACAAATGAGAAATCAGCTACATTGATAACAGAAACTGGAACATCTCATTGGAAACCAGTCACATCAACAAAGAAGTTAAGGGTAAATAACCCAGAAGACAGCAAGGAGTTTCAAAGGGATAGTTCACCCAAAAATGAAAATTCTGTCATAATTTACTCACTCTCAAGTTGTTCCAAACCTGTATGAGTTTCTTTCTTCTGCTGAACACAAAGGAAGATTGAAGAATGTTGGAAACTAGACAGTCGACGATAGCCATTGACTTCCATAGTAGGAAAACAAATATTAATCTGGAAGTTAATGGCTACCGTCGACTGTTTGACTACCAACACTCTTCACTCTTCTTTTGTGTTCAGCAGAAGAAAGAAACTCATACAGGTTTGGAACACCTTGAGAGTGAGTAAATTATGACAGAATTTTCATTTTTGGGTGAACTATCCCTTTGAAACTAATAATAATAATAACAATTGATTGTCAACGAGATTACATCACAGCATCGATCGACAGTGCAAGAGATCAACAATACCATATTTTGTAAACGGCACAGCGATAAATAATAAACAAGAAAAAAAAATGTATATGAGAGGAAAAGAATCATTAGTTAGCAGGAACAATTTGTGTAATGGTGTGTGCTGCAACGATGCAAAGTCCAGTTCACAGTTATTGCATTGGTGGAAAATGACAAAAAAACAAAAACAAATTGGTGGTAAAACCAACAACAAATGAGAAATCAGCTACATTGATAACAGAAACTGGAACATCTCATTGGAAACCAGTCACATCAACAAAGAAGTGAAGGGTAAATAACCCAGAAGACAGCAAGGAGACAACATTTAAAAATAATAAAATAAGCTAAAACAGTGTTACAAAATGTAAAAGCTTATGGCTGCATTTCATGAACAGCACTCATGCACTTTCATACTGACTTCTCCTTTTGGCTGTTATACCTCTGTTTCTCACAAAATCCCTAATGTTTTGTACTGACCGGTTTTGTAGCACATGCTCTTCAGCAGATTTGCATTGAAGACACTCAGATTTTGTCGCCAAATGACCTTTGGCTATGTGGATTTTAAAATGCCGCATCACAGCAGCAACTTCTGCTTTTGACCATATTCTTTTCTTCCCCCGATGTTCAACACTTTCAGTCACTAAAAACAAGAAAGATAAAAACAAGAAAACATTGCAATGTGAAATGTTTAATTTTAAAAAATCAGTTACAAGCTACAAACATTTACAATTTAGTTCACAAAATATTACAAAATGCATGTAATTTTGATAATACATGCATTTCTATGACATTTTATGAACAAAAATAGACTAGAATCAACATGAATTGTTTTTGCCTCAACAGAGCCAAGTCTGAAAGTTTAAAGATTGTTAATTGACATGATGCCATAGACAGTAAAAGAAATGGACACAGTGGATTCAACAGAGAAAAGTGAAGCCCATTAGAAGTACTCCTTTCCTGATCGCTGAGTGTACTGCACAGACTCAAACTGAGCTTGACGATGTAGATGTGACGTGAGCAACTTTTCGGTCTTTTAGTAGCTGTGCCAAGAGAAATCTGAATCATTCCCCTCCGAAACTTGCAGAGATGCAGAGCGTTAGTAGGAGGTGTCCATGAGCTAGCAGCAACTTTCGTGATTCGAACCGAATCATGGGTTTGGCGTAACAGCCAAAATGCCTCCACGTTGTGCATTAAAATGGTTAAATCCACAGCTAGCCGTGGATTATCCCTTGCTTATTTTAATTTATTGAAATATGCTGTTGCTTGTGGTTTGATTATTTTTTCTTATTTTCTTTGTTTTTACTTGACAGTAGTCCTTTTTCCCCCTGAACATATCAAACCATGCCGAAACCATGCCCCTAAAACTGACAAAGCCAAACCGTGAGTAATTTTAACTGTTACACCCCAATTTTACGGTAGCCCAGTAAGAAATCATAAAAAAATGAAACAAGTCACAACACATGCAAGTTACTTTACTTCCTAAATGAATACGGACCCAAGTCAAAGTTGCTTTCACATTCTATAGTACTACACAACTATAGTGATCATACTGCCAGCTCCTACAGGCAGTCTTGGGTACAGTACCTTGGCATACACTCACCTAAAGGATTATTAGGAACACCATACTAATACTGTGTTTGACCCCCTTTCGCCTTAATTCTACGTGGCATTGATTCAACAAGGTGCTGAAAGCATTCTTTAGAAATGTTGGCCCATATTGATAGGATAGCATCTTGCAGTTGATGGAGATTTGTGGGATGCACATCCAGGGCACGAAGCTCCCGTTCCGCCACATCCCAAAGATGCTCTATTGGGTTGAGATCTGGTGACTGTGGGGGCCATTTTAGTAAAGTGAACTCATTGTCATGTTCAAGAAACCAATTTGAAATGATTCGAGCTTTGTGACATGGTGCATTATCCTGCTGGAAGTAGCCATCAGAGGATGGGTACATGGTGGCCATAAAGGGATGGACATGGTCAGAAACAATGCTCAGGTAGGCCGTGGCATTTAAACGATGCCCAATTGGCACTAAGGGGCCTAAAGTGTGCCAAGAAAACATTCCCCACACCATTACACCACCACCACCACCCTGCACAGTGGTAACAAGGCATGATGGATCCATGTTCTCATTCTGTTTACGCCAAATTCTGACACTACCATCTGAATGTCTCTACAGAAATCGAGACTCATCAGACCAGGCAACATTTTTCCAGTCTTCAACTGTCCAACTTTGGTGAGCTCTTGCTAATTGTAGCCACTTTTTCCTATTTGTAGTGGAGATGAGTGGTACCCGGTGGGGTCTTCTGCTGTTGTAGCCCATCCACCTCAAGGTTGTGTGTGTTGTGGCTTCACAAATGCTTTGCTGCATACCTCGGTTGTAACGAGTGGTTATTTCAGTCAAAGTTGCTCTTCTATCAGCTTGAATCAGTCGGCCCATTCTCCTCTGACCTCTAGCATCAACAAGGCATTTTCGCCCACAGGACTGCCGCATACTGGATGTTTTTCCCTTTTCATACCATTCTTTGTAAACCCTAGAAATGGTTGTGCGTGAAAATCCCAGTAACTGAGCAGATTGTGAAATACTCAGACCGGCCCGTCTGGCACCAACAACCATGCCACGCTCAAAATTGCTTAAATCACCTTTCTTTCCCATTCTGACATTCAGTTTGGAGTTCAGGAGATTGTCTTGACCAGGACCACACTCCTAAATGCATTGAAGCAACTGCCATGTGATTGGTTGATTAGATAATTGCATTGAGAAATTGAACAGGTGTTCCTAATAATCCTTTAGGTGAGTGTACTTCTCAGTCCAAACACCACTACCTTATAATGTATCATTTTTCTTTATACCATTAAAATAATTACCTCCATTCTGGCAGGCTTCTTGTATTGATGACATTTCATTTTGTCTGCCAAATGAACTGGTGCCATCAGGTTCATCATCTGCATCATCTTCAGTATCGGTCAACTGGATCTGATCTGAAATCATAACGTTAATTAAGTGTAATACTCTTGTATGGAAATGTTGAGATTGGTATTGGAATAACACCTATGCAATAGATATATAAAATACCTTCAATTTGAATCTCATCGAGTGACTTTCCCTGGATGTTTCCAAGACAACCTTTGTCCATTGCTAAAAGTAGCTTCGAGATTTTCGCAAGCTGAATTGTTGCCTCAGGCAGTCTGTAGTGATCACGGTGGACACGTATATCATGCCCGAGAAAGTCAGCCACCTGATCCAACTCGTTGTCTTTGAGGTTTAAAATTTGCGAAAGGGTTGCAACATGTTTCCTAAGCTGGGTTGAGCGTAGATATTCAGGTTTTTTGGCTCCACACTTTTCTGCATGAAGTCTCAAGCTGTCTTGACCTCTGTAATAACTTGAACATTTTGGTCTAGCAAAGAGAAAGATATTGGCATCCTGTACACCACATTCCATTCTTCTGCTGACTAATAGATTCAGCGATTTCACCATTTGTGGTGTAAGGAGGACAGCCACCTTTCGTCCACGTTTGCCCCGGATTTCTACCCGAGTGAAGTGCTCACAAAGTTTCTTTTCAAACTTAGTTAATCCCAAGGACACATCAACATGGAGTACGCTTTTGTCTCTAGCAATGAAGTTCTTCAAGTGCATTTTTGACACCTCCCCTGCACGCCTTCGATTAAAAACTATAGTCTGAACAAGAGTGGCTTTTGCAAGGTCAGCGTAACTTTGGGGAGATGCTTCTTTCTTCAGTTTGTCAAAGGCAGCATTTGCAGACTGTTCGAGGTGAGTATGAAGAAGTTGCACATCCTGGGTAAAAGGCAAGGTCGATGGTTTGTTGAATTTATTCTCACTAAGTGTGTTCAGGGCAGAGTGTGATACAAGCTCACACCATTTTGTGGAGTACAGTGACTTGAAAGCTTCAGTTGATTTGATCAAGCCCTCATTTTCTGTCATCAAAGCCCTACAGTGAATTATGTCAGCTATTTTCTGTAGAGAATGCCCTATTTTTAGAGCAAGACTTGGTGCTGTGTAAGAGTTGTTTTCTTCATCAAAACCAGACACTTTTTTCACAGCTTTGACAACTTTGTGAAAATTTCCAGGCTTAACAGCATCTTCAATGGTGTATAACGAATCACCACGCAAAACCAACAACACACGTGCAAGTTCCCTTAACTTCTGACGAATATACTCATATTTTGTAGTATCAGATCCATGCTTGTTGTACAGAGATTGTGCCAGCTGCAAAATGCTGAAGTCATTACGAACAACTGTTGTTATATCATCCAGTCTCATTGGGTCAAGAAGCTTCCAAACCCCTTGAGAAATACTTTCAGAGAACACAGACTGAGCAGTTGAGGCCAAGCCCAAGACTTTGGGCTTTGCAAACCCACCGGAAGCCTGTTCTGGCATGAAGTGGCATCTGCGAGAGTGCCGCCACAATTCTTTGCGGGAAAACATTCCTTTACAATAGACACAGTGAATAAATTTAGACTGCTTAGAAGTTCTTTTTAATTTGATTTGCCCGGTTCCTGTTTTGAGAACAACTACATTGTGTTGAAAGTTACCACGATTACGTAATTTCTCCAGAAGTCGTCGTCTTTTTACTGAACGTTTTGGAAAACTGAGAGCCTCCATCACTTCTGCTTCTGTCTTGTGTGTCTCTAGATGTCTGGCAAGTTTAGACTGAGGCTTTTGACAAACGTAACAGTAGTTTATACCTTTAACACCTGCTTTGTCATCTGTTGTTTCATCTGGGTTTTTTTTTCTAGTATCAAATGTTTCAATATTCCCTGAGAGGGGACCCTGGGACAGAGTAGAGACCTCCAGAGACCTTGCATCCGAATCAGATTCGGAACTATCAGAGTTGCTGTCTGGTAAATAATCCTTATCTTCATGCATGTCCTCATCTGATTCACTATCATCCTCTGAGCTGAAATCATGTTTATCCTAAAAATAGAATACATGTTAAACTAACAGTATTTTTTTTTAAATAACAAATGTAATGGTACCTACAAAAGTAAATCTGACATACCTCAGGAAATGCTTGCTTGAGACAACCCTTGTGCCACACACCAGAACAAACTGAAAGACAACAGTCAGTTAATATAAATTAATATATCTACACTAAAACACATTTAGCTATTTTTCAGTATTAGAATCATAAAAATGCATTTTTAAAATAAATCATTATTCACTAAATAATCTTCATTAAACAATTTCATTCATTTTAAAAAGTGAGACAAAATTAATTTAAAGGGAATGCACGTAAAGTTCCTGATTAATATTGAGCATGATTGGTATTCAAAATTCTAAGCAAAAGCTCCAGTCTCCTAGCCTGACTACGTCAGACTTCGTACTTCCGCTCAATTTCAGTTCGCTTCTGTACTCAGTCTGAGATAGCGACCTATCTCTCAGTTTTCCTCCCGACTGAATACAGTCGGCCAATCAACGAACAGAGGGCGGGCTGAGAGCCGTGATGTAGACGCTAAGCGCCGAGTTTAAGATAGGTTAGTGAAATTGAAAACGACCGTGGATATGGAGACACGGGATGCAATTCGCTCTGTTGTGGAGAATATTCCTGGCAGGGGCGTAGGAATGAGTTTAACATTGGGGGGGGACACATAACGGAAACCTGACAGATCCGTTAATGTTTTGAACAGAAATGTGTCATAAATTTACTACACTGCAAAACATTCACCAACATACTTTATTCTACTAAAAAGATACATTTGTAAAGATAAAGGAAAACACATTTTGAATGGCAGTAATTAGGCTAACTGATAAATATCAAATCAATTCTTTAATTGCAGGCCTAATCAGGGGTTAAATTGGGATTTAAAAAAATAAATAAACCATTAAATGGCACTTTCTGGAGACTTTTGTGCAAAGAAATATATATATATAAAAAAGGTAGGTCTAGCAAGTCTTATATTTCTGTAACTCACACAGATCAAATACAAATATGCTGACTGAATAGATTGCTAGTTTATTTTGAGTAGCCAGCTAGCAGTTCTATTGGCAGTTTGCAGTTTGCTGATAATCCGGTGTCTGAAGTAAAATGCTCAAAACATCTCCTGAGAAAAATCACATGGTCAAACTAGTCTTGGTTATTTAATTTTGATTTAGTCTTATTTTCCTTACCTTGTCATTCAAGGCCAGGGCACTTTTTGTACATTTCTGGAACTTTTGCGCGCTTCCACATCCCGCGCAACTACGGATCTCCCAGATCTATGATCTATATTCATTATATATTGCTGTGTACATTTATCCGTGTCACCTAGATGCGCGTGCGCGAGGGAAGCGCGATCATGGTCGACTGACAACGAGATGAAGCAGCTGAACAAGAATACGGCTTTCTGAACAATATTCTGAACAAGAATATTGTTCTCATCTCAGCTCAGCCGAGACAAAATAGACACCATTTCAAATAGCTTTCATTTATTGTCAGAAATATGTTTTCAAAGCATCACTTTCATCAAATTTTATGTGACATAATTTCCAGTAGGCAACTGACTGCAAACAGGCACATGACAAGCATGCGAGTTAAAGATTTCAAATCAAATATTTTTCTCCGCGGTATAATTTTTGGGTGGGACAAATGCGACTGTCTCCAATTTTGGGGGGGGGACACGTCCCCCCCGGTTCCTATGCCCATGATTCCTGGCATTTGCAAACTGAAGCCCGAACAAGAAGAGTGTTTGTTAAACATTTTGAATGGAGGTGATGTTGTGGCCCTGTCGAGCTCGAACTGGCACCCTTTTGACAGTTCAGTGTCTCCTTTCTTTTCCAGTTCTTAAATATTTCCATGTCATGCTGTAATCTTGCAATTAAGTTGCAGCATTTCCGACAGACTCAAGATGAACAAAGAGCTGTGTTTAACAGAACTAATCCTAACTTTGACAGTTGGCTGCAAATATTTTCTTATTTCTCTCTACTGTTAAATATTAGAGGCACTAATTGTACCGTGGATGCATAGATTTACTTTACAAAGTCTGAAAAAGTCGTTCACAGCCATGTTCACTCCGGTGTTTCGCTCGGTGGTTTCGTTTTCGCATTATATATGTTTACAGCAGAGCATGTGAGCGGAGCGGTAATACTTCCTCCTGAGCGGAGAGCGCCTTTCTGAAGATTCTGCTCCGCTCGCTCCGTCCGCTCAGCGCCGCTCGCTCAACCCAGAATGCCCTATTGTGATTTGCTAGTTCGAGAATCGGTGAATTAGCTAAAGCAATAATGGGTTGGTTATGGAGTTCAAACATTGTTTTAAGGAAGTTGCGAGCCTTATGCATAAATGCCCAGTAAAAATCACAGTTAAGAACGAGCAGGGAGAAGAAATTGAAAGGGAGTGTGGAGAGACTGTGAGAGTTAGCAAAGATTCATATTGGAATCTAAAGCGTCACATTGCCAGAAAGCACGAGGATGTGCTACGCAAACATGGTAGTGCAGCAAAAGGTGAGCTATAGCCTATACCATTCGAAAATAAATTAATAGATAAATGGGTAAGGTAGGCTGTTGTACTGAGCCCCTCTCATGACATGAAGACAAAAATATATTGTAATATACAAATTACCCATGTCCCATGAATTAAGAATTCGTTCTTTCATTTAGGGTGGCCACGAATTAAATTCGTTTCCACAAATTCTTAAATCGTTCCCTGGTTTAGTAAATCGTGGCCATGTTGAACTAATTCGTAGGCTACTCTCGTTTTATTAAAACAAGGAAACAAATTATTACAACGTGGTCACGATTTACTAAACCATGGATCGAAATATTATATTGTTAATTTTGTATGATTTAAATAAAATGAGGAAATTAATTATTAAAACATGCTGACGTCAGGTTGGAACGAATTGTTAATTTGTTATGCAATCATCATATCAGTGCAACTAAAAATAACCTATAGCCAACACACAATATGAATTAGCCTACATAATTGTAGTTGATGTAGCCTATTTTTAAGTTGAAATTAGACAGCAGTTATTGAACCTAGGGCTGCACGATTAATCTAATTTTAATCACGATAACGATTTTGGCTTCCCACGATCAAATTCGCGTGATCGAGCGATATTTAAAATGCGTCAATCCGTTCTCAGAACGCTCCGTATCAAAGTTTTTTTTTTTTTTTTTTTGCAAAGCCAATCTAGCGCTCCCTAAACCACTGTCTGATCACGTGCCTCCATGAGCCACAGTGCACGAGAGAGACGTGTGTCTGCGCGCGAGTGACAGAGCACGAGAGACCGTTGCTGTGTCTGAAATCTCCCACTACTCACTATATAGTGGACTATATAGTGAGCTCACCATTTTGTAGTGCTGTCCGAATGTAAAGTGATGATTATTATACCCTATATAGTCCACTCAATGTATCCCAGAATGCATTTTGAAAAGTAGTGTACAACTGATGGTCACTAACCCAAGCCCTACATACCATCATGCATTGCACCAGCTGACAGATGATAGCACGTTTAAATAGTGCGACAGTAATGACGTAATAAACGGCGCCGAGAGACGATCGAGTAGTGTCCGAAAGTGGTGTTTCTACTATGCTTGGTGAGCTCACTATATAGTGCTCTACTCCCTACCCCCTACATAGGGGTTAGGGAGTAGTGGTTTGAGTGGAGATTTCGGACACAGCCCGTGTGTCCAAGAGCGCACTCGACAGTGTGCGAGCGTGCGACAGCGCGCGAGAGATACCGAGTGTGTCTGCGCGCGGGAGAGACCGAGTATCTGCGTGCGGGAGAGACCGAGTGTGAGCATTAGTAAATTGGTACTACATAGTAATATATAATTACTATATAAGAGGCATGGAAGTTCGATTAATGGACTCCAATAATCAGTACTACAAACGTCTTGTTTTGAACTATAGTTTTATACATAGAAATAATTCGAGCACATAAACTTTCATGTGGAAGATTAAATAAGATTCAATTCATGCAGTATGATTTCACAACCAATCACTGACACTGTACCACAACCAGGTTTTCAGATTCTTAAGCGTCAAACAACAATGACTCTGAATTTTATCCATTAATTGAACTTCCATAGTTCTGCCTTGAAATGTTCTCATTTGGTTACATTCTGTTATGGAATATTTGTTTTTTTATTGATTGTATATTTTGAGTTTTATTCACACCCATTATGCAGGTACAATGCAAGTTTATATTTTGCTTCCTAAAATATATTTACACAATGTAAAATAGTGCCTTGTTGAAGTTTTGCTACATTTTCTTTATTGTTTTATTTATTTTTATTTATTCTTTAAGGAGATGCACTGAATTTTGGTGAATAAGAGGACCTGTTTTATTTTGATGCACATACTTGTACATTAGCAGGAATGTAGCACAATATGGATGTGAAAGCAGTTATAATTAGCCTATGTGACAATAACATTTGTTTTGGTTAAAATCAACAAATAATCGTGATAATTAATCGTGATCTCAATATTGTTAAAAATAATCGTGATTATCATTTTGGCCATAATCGTGCAGCCCTAATTGAACCACTTGTTAAATTTAAATAAAACAAAAAAAACTGACCCGAATAATTAGGTAGGCCTATAATTTAGATGTAGGCAACAGAAAATGTACTGAATGCTATTATAATGTACACAAATTAGTTTTTACAGAAAAAACTGCTACCAATCAAAGGGAGATAAAGAATTTTTTTCCTCTCCTGCGTCCCCAGACTCCCCAGTTCTCTGTGTCTAATGCACGGAAGAAAGAATTAGATGACGCATTTTTTAAGATAGTTTACGTGGATTATGAACCTCTCACAAAAGGTGAACGTGAGGGTATGCGCCATTTTGTCAGCGTTGCCCAGCCCGGCTATACCACACCGTGCTACAGTACAGTACGTGACACTCTGATGCCAAATGCTCTTAGCGAGATGGAAGGCAGACTTAGAGAGCTGTTGCAGTTAGGAGATGGCTTTGTGCTTACTTTAGACATTTGGACAAACAGAAGAGGACACAGCTTTCTGGGTGTTGTGGCAAGTTTCATTGATGAAATGTTTAACAGTCACACTGTGCTGCTGTCCTGTGAACATCTTAAAGGACACCACACCGCTGAGAATATTTTTCATAAATATGAAAGTATTTTGCAACACTGGAATTTACAACGACGAGTTGTCAGGGTGGTGACTGACAGCGCAAGTAACATGGTAAAGGCTTTCGACCTCCCAGGGTTTGATGAAAGCTCAACTGAAGAGGAGGGTGAGGAAGAGGTCCTTGAGGAAGATAGCAGTGGCACAGAGGAAGGTCCACTTTCACCATTCCAGACAGATTTTGCGCAGATCATAGAAAACATGAGCGCCACATACATCACTGAATCTAATCTGCATATGCGATGCCCCATCCATTTACTGCAACTCGCCATAAAGGATGCAATAAACGGTCATGCTGATGTAGACAAAATGATCACACGAACGGCAAAACTTGTAAAGAGTATTAGAAAAAGCACCTTAAACACTGAGGAGGCTGATAAACTTAAAATTCCCGAGCACAGTAAGCTGACCATGAATGACGTACTTCATCTCCAAGCCCTGACTGAGGTGCTATTGCCTCTGGCAGAGCTTACAACTGCTATGCAAAAAGAGCTCGGAAACCTTGGCATGATTCTTCCAGCTGTAATGGAAATCAAACAGCTTTTGTCCAGTGTCCCTGACAACCGCTCCGTCAACATTCGTGCATTTGTGGAGACACTGTCAGATAATGTCTCTACTCGTTTTAACAGATTTTACTCTGACAAGCACCTTGTGTTGGCGGCTGTATTGGATCCACGTTTTAAAACTGAATGGATCATTAGAGATGGTACAGTGAGCAATCAACTCGTAGAGATTCGTGAAATGTTGGTAAAAGAGGCAGAATGCAGTGGTGTGGAGACTGCGGTGGACAGTGACTGAGGCTAGAAGCGCTCCCAAGAAGGCCCTCATTTTCGGCTCATATGAGAGCAACTCGAGTGTAGCTGACAGTGCCAGAGGTGAGATGGAGGAGTACCTGGGCTCAATGAGAAAAGGTCCACATGAAGATGTCCTAGGATTTTGGAAAACCAATGCTGGATCAATCCAGTGGTTCTTCCAGTGCTGAGCGCGTGTTTTCCGCCGCTGGATTACTGTCCCGGGCACACCGCATGAGCCTGAAACCTAATACTTTGTCCAAGCTAATGTTTCTAAAAGTAAATTCTAAAGTGATGTAAAGATTGAGACGTTTTTAAATAGACCGCAATTACCCGCAGTTTTGGTCTATTTAAACTTTAGAACGCGCGTTTCTTTTACTAATGCCAGTAAATCATCCAGGTGTGCTTTGATAAGATGTTGTTAAGTGCATTTCACCTGTGTGTGCTTTTATGAGCATGATAGTCCAGATGTGTTTTGTGAAGTTCTACATGCATTTCATCTTGTTTGTGTGTGTGTGTGTGTGTGTGTGTGCGTGCGTGCGCGTTTTAATATGCCTGTTTTGCAACTGCAGTTATGTTCACGGAAATAAAATAACGAAAATCAAATATACCTTTTCAGTTATTGCATTTAATAGGCAAGTTTGCCAAAGGGCTAGACATGTTTTTTAATTAAGTTAATTTAATGCATTTAAATGAATAAAAAGAACAGACTTTTATTCAGAATCACCAGTAAATAACTTCTATTTACAATCCTAGCTACTGTAATTTATACATTTATTCCAGATATTCATTACAAAGTACAAACAGAAGGCAAGTAACCTACAGAAACATTTATGTCTGAGCGGGATTTGTTTTACCGGTGAGTGTGAGCGATTCATCAGTGGAGCGTTCGCTTGGGACGCGAGCGACTGAGTGGAGCATACGCGCATAGAGCGGAATATTGAGCTGAGCGTTACACCGCTCTGCTTCGCTCACATGCTCTGGTTTACAGAGGAAGTTAGATGCGGCTGAGCTGGCGCGTCATAACCAAACGATATGTGATTGGCTTATGGGTAACCAATGATTTTATACTTTTTATTCATTGCGTTATGGAGTCTGTGATGTCTTTATATCTCATCGTTTTTATAGGTTTTAGTTTATATATTTTATAATGTAATAATTACACAGCTAATCTCCGAATTAATGTAGAGACAAAGTTGTATAGTTTACTGTACATTTTTAAATACTTGGTTCATTGGCATCTTTTTATGAATAAAGGTCAGTTTCACTGATACTAATACAGCTATTGATGTCTGGATAAAAAATTATAGATGCAAAGGGTTAACTCCATATTAAACCCTACGGATCAGGAATGGGATGTAATTTAAGTTTATGTACATGTATAGGCAAACGTCCCAAAACGTTTGGCAATATAGTGTATGCAAGTATGCATGTATTTACTCACCTTTACATTTGAAACCAATCCACTTAAGAGCAGACATCCCAGATCCCAGGCATACTGTGCATTTGTCCAGGCATGACACAGTTGCATGGACCAAGTCATGTTTGTGACACTATTTAGTAGGAAGGAAGAGGAGTGGGATAGACCGTAATTTAGCTTCTACTTTTTTTTTAAACAAAAGTATATACAAATAATTTATATACTTATTTACTATTATTTATTTTCTATTTTGCAGATTTAAAATTAACACACTTGAATTTTCACAAACCAAAAGCATAGTGCTTGCCAAACTGTGGGGCACAGAGGTATTGACAGCAATTGTAGCTGCTCCTGTGTTGACAGTTCTCTTACAAAACTACACAATACCTGTTCTGCACTTGCTTCTGCCAAACAGGGAGTTTTGTCTGCAACATCTGTATTCATCTGTAAAGGAGAATGAAAATAAATACCGTTGTAGACATTTGCTGGAGATAAAGAAGCTGCTACTGTGTCGTCAGTTTAACAATCTCATGCCTATTGTTTCCTACATAACTAACACTACAGTGTCCTAGTAAACCGTTCTGTCCTCACAATGCAGTGTTTTCAGTTTAACACAATCTCATGCCTATTGTTTCCTACATAACTAACACTACAGTGTCCTAGTAAACCGTTCTGTCCTCACAATGCAGTGTTTTCAGTTTAACACAATCTCATGCCTATTGTTTCCTACATAACTAACACTACAGTGTCCTAGTAAACCGTTCTGTCCTCACAATGCAGTGTTTTCAGTTTAACACAATCTCATGCCTATTGTTTCCTACATAACTAACACTACAGTGTCCTAGTAAACCGTTCCGTCCTCACAATGCAGTGTTTTCAGTTTAACACAATCTCATGCCTATTGTTTCCTACATAACTAACACTACAGTGTCCTAGTAAACCGTTCTGTCCTCACAATGCAGTGTTTTCAGTTTAACACAATCTCATGCCTATTGTTTCCTACATAACTAACACTACAGTGTCCTAGTAAACCGTTCTGTCCTCACAATGCAGTGTTTTCAGTTTAACACAATCTCATGCCTATTGTTTCCTACATAACTAACACTACAGTGTCCTAGTAAACCGTTCCGTCCTCACAATGCAGTGTGTTTTCAGTTTAACACAATCTCATGCCTATTGTTTCCTACATAACTAACACTACAGTGTCCTAGTAAACCGTTCTGTCCTCACAATGCAGTGTTTTCAGTTTAACACAATCTCATGCCTATTGTTTCCTACATAACTAACACACTACAGTGTCCTAGTAAACCGTTCCGTCCTCACAATGCAGTGTGTTTTCAGTTTAACACAATCTCATGCCTATTGTTTCCTACATAACTAACACACTACAGTGTCCTAGTAAACCGTTCTGTCCTCACAATGCAGTGTGTTTTCAGTTTAACACAATCTCATGCCTATTGTTTCCTACATAACTAACACTACAGTGTCCTAGTAAACCGTTCTGTCCTCACAATGCAGTGTGTTTTCAGTTTAACACAATCTCATGCCTATTGTTTCCTACATAACTAACACTACAGTGTCCTAGTAAACCGTACCGTCCTCACAATGCAGTGTGTTTTCAGTTTAACACAATCTCATGCCTATTGTTTCCTACATAACTAACACACTACAGTGTCCTAGTAAACCGTTCCGTCCTCACAATGCAGTGTGTTTTCAGGTTCACACAGTGCTTGGCTCTACATCAAGTCTCTATATCAACTTTCCACTTTGTAGATGTATAATAAGCACACTTGACTATAATGAACATACATTAATCAAAAAAATACACCTAGAATAAATGTTAATGTCTCTTACAAAACTACACAATACCTGTTCTGCACTTGCTTCTGCCAAACAGGGAGTTTTGTCTGCAACATCTGTATTCATCTGTAAAGGAGAGAATGAAAATAAATACCGTTGTAGACATTTGCTGGAGATAAAGAAGCTGCTACTGTGTCGTCAGTTTAACAATCTCATGCCTATTGTTTCCTACATAACTAACACTACAGTGTCCTAGTAAACCGTTCTGTCCTCACAATGCAGTGTGTTTTCAGTTTAACACAATCTCATGCCTATTGTTTCCTACATAACTAACACTACAGTGTCCTAGTAAACCGTTCTGTCCTCACAATGCAGTGTGTTTTCAGTTTAACACAATCTCATGCCTATTGTTTCCTACATAACTAACACTACAGTGTCCTAGTAAACCGTTCCGTCCTCACAATGCAGTGTGTTTTCAGTTTAACACAATCTCATGCCTATTGTTTCCTACATAACTAACACTACAGTGTCCTAGTAAACCGTTCTGTCCTCACAATGCAGTGTTTTCAGTTTAACACAATCTCATGCCTATTGTTTCCTACATAACTAACACTACAGTGTCCTAGTAAACCGTTCTGTCCTCACAATGCAGTGTTTTCAGTTTAACACAATCTCATGCCTATTGTTTCCTACATAACTAACACACTACAGTGTCCTAGTAAACCGTTCCGTCCTCACAATGCAGTGTGTTTTCAGGTTCACACAGTGCTTGGCTCTACATCAAGTCTCTATATCAACTTTCCACTTTGTAGATGTATAATAAGCACACTTGACTATAATGAACATACATTAATCAAAAAAATACACCTAGAATAAATGTTAATGTCTCTTACAAAACTACACAATACCTGTTCTGCACTTGCTTCTGCCAAACAGGGAGTTTTGTCTGCAACATCTGTATTCATCTGTAAAGGAGAGAATGAAAATAAATACCGTTGTAGACATTTGCTGGAGATAAAGAAGCTGCTACTGTGTCGTCAGTTTAACAATCTCATGCCTATTGTTTCCTACATAACTAACACTACAGTGTCCTAGTAAACCGTTCTGTCCTCACAATGCAGTGTGTTTTCAGTTTAACACAATCTCATGCCTATTGTTTCCTACATAACTAACACTACAGTGTCCTAGTAAACCGTTCCGTCCTCACAATGCAGTGTGTTTTCAGTTTAACACAATCTCATGCCTATTGTTTCCTACATAACTAACACTACAGTGTCCTAGTAAACCGTTCTGTCCTCACAATGCAGTGTTTTCAGTTTAACACAATCTCATGCCTATTGTTTCCTACATAACTAACACTACAGTGTCCTAGTAAACCGTTCTGTCCTCACAATGCAGTGTGTTTTCAGTTTAACACAATCTCATGCCTATTGTTTCCTACATAACTAACACTACAGTGTCCTAGTAAACCGTTCTGTCCTCACAATGCAGTGTTTTCAGTTTAACACAATCTCATGCCTATTGTTTCCTACATAACTAACACACTACAGTGTCCTAGTAAACCGTTCCGTCCTCACAATGCAGTGTGTTTTCAGGTTCACACAGTGCTTGGCTCTACATCAAGTCTCTATATCAACTTTCCACTTTGTAGATGTATAATAAGCACACTTGACTATAATGAACATACATTAATCAAAAAAATACACCTAGAATAAATGTTAATGTCTCTTACAAAACTACACAATACCTGTTCTGCACTTGCTTCTGCCAAACAGGGAGTTTTGTCTGCAACATCTGTATTCATCTGTAAAGGAGAGAATGAAAATAAATACCGTTGTAGACATTTGCTGGAGATAAAGAAGCTGCTACTGTGTCGTCAGTTTAACAATCTCATGCCTATTGTTTCCTACATAACTAACACTACAGTGTCCTAGTAAACCGTTCTGTCCTCACAATGCAGTGTGTTTTCAGTTTAACACAATCTCATGCCTATTGTTTCCTACATAACTAACACTACAGTGTCCTAGTAAACCGTTCTGTCCTCACAATGCAGTGTGTTTTCAGTTTAACACAATCTCATGCCTATTGTTTCCTACATAACTAACACTACAGTGTCCTAGTAAACCGTTCCTTCCTCACAATGCAGTGTGTTTTCAGTTTAACACAATCTCATGCCTATTGTTTCCTACATAACTAACACTACAGTGTCCTAGTAAACCGTTCTGTCCTCACAATGCAGTGTTTTCAGTTTAACACAATCTCATGCCTATTGTTTCCTACATAACTAACACTACAGTGTCCTAGTAAACCGTTCTGTCCTCACAATGCAGTGTGTTTTCAGTTTAACACAATCTCATGCCTATTGTTTCCTACATAACTAACACTACAGTGTCCTAGTAAACCGTTCTGTCCTCACAATGCAGTGTTTTCAGTTTAACACAATCTCATGCCTATTGTTTCCTACATAACTAACACTACAGTGTCCTAGTAAACCGTTCCTTCCTCACAATGCAGTGTTTTCAGTTTAACACAATCTCATGCCTATTGTTTCCTACATAACTAACACTACAGTGTCCTAGTAAACCGTTCTGTCCTCACAATGCAGTGTTTTCAGTTTAACACAATCTCATGCCTATTGTTTCCTACATAACTAACACTACAGTGTCCTAGTAAACCGTTCTGTCCTCACAATGCAGTGTGTTTTCAGTTTAACACAATCTCATGCCTATTGTTTCCTACATAACTAACACTACAGTGTCCTAGTAAACCGTTCTGTCCTCACAATGCAGTGTTTTCAGTTTAACACAATCTCATGCCTATTGTTTCCTACATAACTAACACTACAGTGTCCTAGTAAACCTTTCCTTCCTCACAATGCAGTGTTTTCAGTTTAACACAATCTCATGCCTATTGTTTCCTACATAACTAACACTACAGTGTCCTAGTAAACCGTTCTGTCCTCACAATGCAGTGTGTTTTCAGTTTAACACAATCTCATGCCTATTGTTTCCTACATAACTAACACTACAGTGTCCTAGTAAACCGTTCCTTCCTCACAATGCAGTGTTTTCAGTTTAACACAATCTCATGCCTATTGTTTCCTACATAACTAACACTACAGTGTCCTAGTAAACCTTTCCTTCCTCACAATGCAGTGTTTTCAGTTTAACACAATCTCATGCCTATTGTTTCCTACATAACTAACACTACAGTGTCCTAGTAAACCGTTCCTTCCTCACAATGCAGTGTTTTCAGTTTAACACAATCTCATGCCTATTGTTTCCTACATAACTAACACTACAGTGTCCTAGTAAACCGTTCTGTCCTCACAATGCAGTGTTTTCAGTTTAACACAATCTCATGCCTATTGTTTCCTACATAACTAACACTACAGTGTCCTAGTAAACCGTTCTGTCCTCACAATGCAGTGTTTTCAGTTTAACACAATCTCATGCCTATTGTTTCCTACATAACTAACACTACAGTGTCCTAGTAAACCGTTCCGTCCTCACAATGCAGTGTGTTTTCAGTTTAACACAATCTCATGCCTATTGTTTCCTACATAACTAACACTACAGTGTCCTAGTAAACCGTTCTGTCCTCACAATGCAGTGTTTTCAGTTTAACACAATCTCATGCCTATT